AAATAAATAAATAAATAAATAAACACAGTCATAGACATTTCTTCTCAAAGGTAAGCCCTATTTTGTTCAATAAGACTTACTTCCAGACAAATGCAATTGTCTCTGCCAGTCAAAGAGACCATCAGCTTGTAATACGCCACCCACTTCCTTAGACCTTCTGTTATTCTGAAGCCCATTCACCGTAGCCTTACTTTGACCTCAAAAGCACATGGTCACATAGTTTTCCTTAATTAATGTTTATGTGGATGAGCCTTAATTACCAAGCTGGTAATTCAATAAAGATACTCCTAATTACAGGCATAAATCCCCCAATCATCAGACTGTTGGCAAGAGTTGAGAGTTAAGCTTTTAAATCCTGACAGAGAGAAGGAAGAAGAGAGACAGAGATCAGTCCCAAAGTATCCAGACATCATTAACTTCCATTTCTCCACATCACTTCCTTGATTAACGGGGAAAAGATAAGCCAGAAGAGTTCGTCTTGAACTTCAGTTGGACATTTAGGGGAACCCTTATGGTCTAGTCCTCTACAGCTCTCACATCAAACCCAACCTCATCCTTCCATTCAATTCACCAAAAGGAACAAGAGACAAGAGCTTAAGCTTATCATGTGCAGAAAGCTTTGCTTGACTTTTAATTAGAAGAAAATGGGGGGGGGGGGGAGAATGCTGGGACTATGCACAGAAACAAAGGGAAGAAGCCAACTCTTGTTCAAGTACTAAAATTTGCTCTACTTCACAGAACGAGAGCTCATTTGTAATATACACATAACAACCCTGAACATACCAGCACTATGTTTCATAGTGCTGGTATGTTCAGCAGTATGAAAGCCTGAGATGTGTTTCAGTCAGTTGCCTGGAATAACTGTGAATTGACCAACTAAATTCAAAATCTCATGTTTCAATTGTAATGTAATGCCCCAGCATTCTTAACTATTTTCTTGGAAGATTTCACCACCACCACCTTTTAGAGAGATATGGGCATGGAGTGGGAAATTGGGAAGCAAGCAGGACGCCTCTCCACACAGGTACCATAACTGGCTTAGAAATATTGTTTAATCTTGGATTCTTTTTCAGAAAGGTGGGATGAAAATATTTTAAATAAATAAAATTCAAAATAAAATAAATAATCTCCCTTCAGAGAAAAAGGGTTACAGGTGAACAATAAATGAAACTGCTCCAGAAACATACTGAAAGGCTAAGTTGCATTTTAGTTCATTGTGTAGAATGGCTGTAGATCAACAAACCAGATTCGATTGTGTTGTGAGTCGCCCAGAGTAGACACTGTCTAGATGGGCGGGATACAAGTTTAATAAACAAATAAAATAAATAGATTAAAAATTACAACTAGGAAAAATTAATGGAAAATGGACCACACACACACACACACACACACACACACACACACACACACACACGCACACACGCACGCACGCACGCACGCACGCACGCACGCACGCTAGACAAGAAGCAGGAATGCCATGAGGGCTGAACTCACAGGATCTCTGCTTCCCTTCTGTGAAGGACAAATCTTCAAGTGAAATAAACAACAAATTATAATCTATTCGGAGAACAGAACAGTTGTATAACTGTTCTAGGTCCTGGCATACCGAACTGAATAACGATCTGAATTTGCAAACATGCCCTCTGGTGGAGTTCTACTTTGACTCATTGCTCCATCATACATCATATACATTTACTATGCTTTATATCACCAAGCCTGTCCTGTCATGTCTTGGAGAATAAACTGCTTCCTTCCCTTTATTGCTACTTGGACAAGAAAGTGTGTATATTTAACATCATATGGCCACCTACAGTCATGGTCAACTGGATTTTTCAGGGGGCTGTCTGAAAAAAGGAGTACAGTGGTGCCTCGCTTAACGATTACCTCGTTAAATGACAAATCCACTTGACAATGAGGTTTTTGCGATCGCAAAACTATGTTTCAATGGGCAAAATTCATTTCCCGACGATAGGTTCCCTGCTTCGGGAACCTATTCTTCGTATTACGACGATCAAAACAGCTGATCGTCGGGTTTCAAAATGGCCACCTGCTGTGTAAAATGGCTCCCTGCTGTGCTTTAGGATGGATTTTTCGCTGCACAGGCATCGGAAAATGGCCCCCCCATGGAGGATCTTCCCTGGACGCTGAGGTATTTAGCACATTGCAACTCATTGAGCGGTTTTCAATGCGTTTCAATGGGCTTTTTTATTTCGCTTGAGGATTTGGCCGGAACGGATTATCCTCATCAAGCGAGGCACCACTGTATTCGTAATTTTCACTCTTCCAAGGCTGACCATAAAATTATCTCTGGCTCCCTGTAGTGGCCAGCTCTGGTAACTTCATTTTAGAAATATATATTTCTAGGATTTTTCTTTGAATATGTTTAATTTTTTCTGACTGGGGATAAGTGAATCAATGGATACTAATCCTGTGGATAAGGGGGCCCTACTATACTCCAGTGAAACGGTGGCAAGACCTTTATACAACACAGAATATGAGTCTCCACATGATTAAAGCCTAAAAATGTACATAGAATATTAAGGGGAAAAATCACATGAAAAAGAATTCAGCAAATTGTTTCAAAACCTCTAACCCTTTCCCCGCCAAAAACAGCACCTTTTCCCATTTCTGATGCACTTACACTTTCAAATATGTCGTTCAATTTATTATATGAAACAGCTATCATTTAAAATAGCTAAGTAAGCTTTAAGTTTGATAAGTAAATATTTTATGTACTTCGAATTTCTCTCTCTTTTCCCTCCTAAAAATATCTGGGGGAAAAGTTTCTCATCTTGACTTCTGAACTTCCATACTTTTTTAATTTACACCTCCAGTGGTGTGCCACAATTTACTGGAATGTTAATCAGGCAACTCATACAAAGTTTCCATATCACACAAAGGTGAGCCATTATTTAAATCAGGCAGCCTTTATCTTGGTCCTAGTACAAACTGACCGTATGCAAAGAGAACATTCCAGGTCTGATGTACTCAGGAGGCTCTCAAAATCTGGTTGATAGTCTTGGGTAGACTTTTGTCCTCTTGCATATGCTGATGTGCCCTCTTCCAAATCTAGTTACGCAAAAGAAAGAGAAAAATGTTGAACTTCCCATCCAGCCTTAAGCCTCACTAGGTTAATTGCATCGATTATTGGTTTGCAAATGATCGTCTGAAGTGCAAACAGATTCAGTATACAAAGCCACAGTTCTGGCATGCTTTTGAGATCCATATAGATTACAAATATTATACTGGTTTCATGTTGCACACAGCTAGCAAGTACATTTCTTTTAATAAAGACCACTTTACATCTTTTTAGATGTTCATTTGAGGTTTTCAGTATAGAGGTGAAAGGTAACTGTGTACACGACCCAAGAAAACAGGGATCACAGCTCACTGTGGAATCAGTGGCAAATCCAGACCTGCCTCAGCCCAATGGATAAAATAGCCATCTGAGATTAGGAAGAGTCACTAGTTAATCCGGCACCCAAGCACAGTGGAGAATATGGTTATTGACAGGTAATAGTCATCCCATATCAGTGCATTGTTGGGGAACATCAAGAGCAAGTTGGTAGCTTACTGATGTCTTGTTTGTGACCCTCCCCAAAGGGACCTGGTTCACCACTCTGGGAACAGAATGGTAGGTGAGATAGGTTTTCAGTTTGATCCACATTTCCCTTTCTGAAAATAACTAGGCATTTATTAACATAATCAGGTAGGAAAGCAGGTTTTCCCGTCTCCAAAAATTATTTCCATACCAATATAACTGTACTATAAGGGTAGGTTCATAATATTACTATTAGCCTTGCAACAATATAAAGATTGCTGAACTGATCCCTCATACTCTGTAGATGACACCTCTGCTTGTCCAGTAAAATCTTATACCTAACACAGGCTATAAAAGTCGACTGGCATACTTTAGACAGCAGTACTGGAGGTATCAAGGTGCCACACTGAATTCATTTTGGTGACAATTAGTTAAGGAAGCAAAGGGCCTTCTGTTATTTCTCCAAGGCAAAGAGGCAAGAATTGCAGTGAAGAATAGCACGGGCCTAAAGACAATGTGGAAATTCTTACCTCCTTCTTTCTCTACAGAAACATCCAGATTTGACTTTTTCCTCAGCCACTCTGGCATAGAAAGTGCTGCCTGGTTGTACTCAGACCCAATTTCTCCCAGACAAAATTCCCTTTTTTTCCTCACATCCTATTTAATAAAGAAAAGCAACATGTTAAACACTCCTTTTACATAACAGTTGAACAGTAAAATATAGGTGGGGGAACAAGAGAAGAAAAGAGAGACGAGCCTATATGTCTATGTGCAGAGAGAAAAAGAGAGGAGAGCGTATATGTATGTGTGTAGAGAGAGAGAGAGAGAGAGAGAGAGAGAGAGAGAGAGAGAGAGAGAGAGAGAGAGAGAGATTTTACAAAGACTAGAGACCTGAAATATTCAAATGTTTAAATGTCACCATATTTTTTTGCAAATGCAGCCACACACACTTTGCCATATGAACCATGTTTTCAACCTTGTTGAATATTAAACCTTGTTTAATATAAAACCTTTGCTAGAGACAATTTTCAACTTACCTCCACTTGCAGCAAGTCCCTCAAATTTCCAGTAAGGTTAGAAAAGCAGCCTCCCTACAATGCTTGAGTGAAGGTCGCATTTTTAAAAAACAAATAGAACACAACACATACAGCCTGTCCAACATACCTTATTTTCATTAGCAATAACAAATTAATGGCAGCAATACCAAATTCACCTCCTACAATGATTGTTAGAGTGATTAAAGAGCAATTGGCATAAGTTATTTTTGAAAAGTCACATTCCAAAGTATTGCACAAGTTTAAGGTGGGTTTACACAAACCCTTGCACATGTTCAGTGATCGAGGCATACAGGTTAGGGTCACACACACCACCTCTCCACTCCTTGATGAACATCTGTGGGAACAACACATGCACCTGTGGTGAACCCTTACATGCAAGGAAGTGACAAGGGAAGGATGATTCTGTTGATGGTCGGGTCTAGCCCATAAACTGCTCAATGAACGCAAGAGGAGTTCTTGAAAAGATCCACACAGTGATGTACTGTATCATTGCATACCTCACTTCATGCCACCTTGAGCCTTGCAGTGCGTATATTCATCAACCCAGATTGCTTACCTGCAAAGGTTTTTCTTCCAAAGATACAAGTAAAGCTTGTTCTTTCCCTGAGTTTGACCCTTTCAAGTTTTGACTGAGATCACTCTTTAGCTCCACAACAGTGCCTGGAAGAGGGGAGGCATCATTTGTGAGAATCTGGGAACAAGAAAACACCACATCATTTTTGGAAAGAGCGAGACTATAAGGTAGAATTTGGTTCTTGAAGAATGTGAGGAAGGGAGATCATGACACTAATGGAGGGGTGACTGATATCAGGGCACTTGGTAGAGGGCACATTTTTTTTTACTCCAGCTCCCACTATGAGGCTCTACCAAGTCTGAAAACGGCTGTTTTCAGCCATTTAAAAAATGAAACTAGGAATTATCAAGACAAGAGCAGTTCCAGTTTGTTTGTTTGTTGCTTTGTTTGGGGACATCTAGAGGACTCGTCAGCCCCCTAATTGAGAATGACTGCTCCTGAAAGAAGCAGCTAGAGAGAGAGAGAGAGACAGACAGACTGACGGACAGACAGAATTTGTACACTGGTGAGGGGAGGGTGCTGAGAGGCCTTGAATGCTGAAAAATGCCCCAAAAGGCTTCCTTCCTGCTTTCACTGCTGCTGCAGAGGCACATTTCTCTTTCCCCTCAAGCAATCAAACATTCATATCAGAGGTCTGTGATTGAGCAAGTAAAATAAACACTTTGAGACAGTATTGTTTTATAAAAGTCTCTTCCTTTTTGTTGAACAGGCCACCTGTTTCTGGCCACCATTTTCACCATTCATCAAAATATGTATAAGCAAAATATATAACAAAATATATACGCAAAGCAACCAGAAGGCAACAGTAGGGACTTACTAGCCACTTACCAAAATGCCTGTATCATTTTTCTTGACTGGACTATGCAGTTTTGTGTTTTTTAATACAGTGGTGCCTCGCTTAACGATGTTAATTGGTTCCAAAAAACCCATCGCTATGGGAAACATTGTTAAGTGAAACACCATTTCCCATAGGAATGCATTGAAAACCGGTTAATCCGTTCCAATGGGAACGGATTAACATCCTTAAGCAAAAATCCCCATAGGAAACATCGCTAAGTGAAACAATGTTTCCCCAACGGAAAGCCATTCAAAAGCACTGAAGCCGGCTTCAGTGCTTTTGAATGGCTTTCTGATGTCCGTGTTTGCTCATTTTTAAGTGTCTTACAATGTTTGGAACATGTTTTAAATGGTTGGAATAGTTAGTCCACCTTGTGAAACCTAAGCACACTTAGTTTGGCTTTCTTCTGAGTCTTTGTTAATTTTTGGTGATTTTTTGTTTTTTCCCTCATTGAAATCCATTGGACGGACAGTCCATTGGATTTCAATGAGGGAAAAAACAAAAAATCACCAAAAATTAACGAAGACTCAGAAGAAAGCCAAACTAAGTGTGCATAGGTTTCACAAGGTGGACTAACTATTCCAACCATTTAAAACATGTTCCAAACATTGTAAGACACTTAAAAATGAGCAAACACGGACATCGTTAAGTGAAATTCCCCCATAGAGAACATCGTTAAACGATGCTGAAAATTCCTCAAAGAAACCCATCGCAAAGTGAATACATCGTTAAACGAAGCAATCGCTAAGCGAGGCACCACTATAATCACTTCAGAATAAGTTCTATCTCCCCAGTATCTATATCAAAAGGTCAAATTTTAAAACCAAGAGGATCAGGTCTACGGTACGGCCACGTGAGTGTTCCACCTCTTTATACAGAAAAAGAATCTCAAGGATATATCCTGTAATCCTGGAAAGCATTGCCCATTCATTTTCCCTACTTTATTTATGAACCAAACTGCAATTCTGCATTTACCCTTTCCGCCTCATATTGAGCAGCACAGAAACTGGAATTCAGTGTAAGACAATGCTGGAACTGCTGCAGGGCCTCTGATTGTTTTCCCATTTCCAGGAGCATCTTCCCTTTCCTAAAGAAGCCCTGCAAAGAAGCAAGCATATTGTTTTAGCAGAATATTTCAGACGTCACCCCACTCAGTGGTTTGACAATTTACTGCATTACATAATGCCCAGGGCCCAGGGTTGATCAACCGCATTTCAGCTAAGCCTTGGATAGGAATTACACAGAACCACATGCAGCTGCTCTTATCATAACTTGACCTCCGACCCTGTAGAGATGGGTATGTGGGGGGAGCATGTGTATGTAGATATAGGTGTCTAGTAAAGATTATAATTGCTCCAGAAACACTTGGTTGTGGCAGGAGATGAGGGTGTGTGTTTGTCTGCACATGAACTGAATATGAACTTCCAGTTGCTTACAGTTTGGGGAAAAATGGAGGGGAAATTGCATTGTTGGAGGAAGGTTGTAGCAGATGTCTCAGTAGGACAAAACCAGACCCATTGAAGTTGCCTGCTCTTATACTGTACAGACTATATTGACAGCCTGGAAAGTAAAAAAATAATTATAGTTATAATTCTGCTCCACCCAAATGCTTACATTCTAGTTGTAATTTTTTTAAACAGTAACTCATGCTTTGTTACTCCAAATTAATCAGAACAGTAACTTTTAGTTTTTTGGTTTTTTTTAAATGTCACGCTAGAAAGCATTGGCCTGTTACAAAATACTTTTTCCTCCTTTTCATCTTGTCATTGCCAGAGCATGGACAAGGCAGCACCGTGATATACAACAGCAGCCAGCATTTTTAGACCATGTGATGTTTGTGCGCTAAAATGTCTCTCTTTTGCTGGAACTGAGACAAAAACTTTAAAAAATTCTTCTAATGAGTTAAGTGTTTCCAATGCTGAGGGATCCACAGAACTTTGCACCGTTCTGTGTAACCTTCATTATTGCTTTTTAGAAAATTCTCCTCTAATCAAAATTGTTCCTTGTGATTTTATACAGAGCTAGATTTTTCCTTGTAAAAAGCTTCGAATCAACATGCATTTCTCTTCCTTTTATTCTATCTCCTGCTGAGGTTCACTGTCTTATTTTTTATTTTGTTTTTTCTATTTTGTCCTGGACTTTTTCCATATAAATTCCCACAGACCACATGGATATTTTGGAATCTGGACCAATGTTCCTCATCTTTCACCTGAGACTTCAAAACCAGCCTCTTGGGAAAGGTAGGAGTAAGTCTTTCTCCCTCGATCTTTAACCCAAACTGCTATACAGTATCTGACTAGTAGGCTGTTAGAAGATTAAGGGCAAATGCTGTGTTGTGTTAATGGCTAATTTTGAAGCTATTTTTGCATGTTGTCACTTCATATCTTGCTTATATCCAAGTTGCTCTTATAATTATATATTTGTCTACAGTACATTATTTTCTTGTGACTTCTTGCATGTTGTGCCTTCATGTTATACACATTCTTTGTTAGCAGATGAAATTTAAATGGATTTTTCAAATTTACTGGTACTGTAAATAGGTAAAGGTTCCCCTTGACAAATGTCCAGTCATGTCCGACTCTAGGTTGCGGTGCTCATATCCATTTCCAAGTCATAGAGCCAGCATTTGTCCGATGACGATTTCCGTGGTCACATGGCCAGCGCGACTAGACACAGAACGCCGTTACCTTCCCACCGAGGTGGTACCTATATATCTGCTTGCATTTTACATGCTTTCAAACTGCTAGGTTGGCAGGAGTGACTGTAAATAGTTCTGAGGGGGGGAAAAGCAAAAGCGTGCTGCTTATATACCGCCCCATAGTGCTTCAAGCACTCTCTGGGCGGTTTACAAGTTAATTATGCAGGCTACACATTGCCCCCCCCCCCAGCGAGCTGGGTACTCATTTTACTGACCTCGGAAGGATAGAAGGCTGAGTCAACCTTGAGCCGACTATGTAGGATTGGACCCCAGGTCATGAGCACAGTTTTGGCTGCACGAGGCTCAGTTAGCAAACACATAAATCCTGATTAGATTAGTCCTCACACCGTTTACATGAAACTTTTTTAAAAAGTTGTCCTTGACAAAAGACAAGAAAATCTGGAGAGGTTTTGGGGGGAAACTCAGAAAAATTTCACACTTCATTTTTGGGGGCAGATTTCATGAAAGGAATATTGGAAAATATGATGATTGATGTTTTGTCGGCCCTAAGAATTAGACATCATCACCCCATGTCTTGGGGCCATCCTATAGAAAAAAACCAACATAAGCTTCTACAAAAGTGCCTTATTCTTAGTATTAGCAATCAGGAATTTTGCATTTATAATATGTACACATTTTTCCTCCTCCAGCAGAGGAAAAAGGCTTTGGTATCTCAGTCTTGTTTCAGAACAGAGATTTCTCAAGAGGCTCAACAGTAGAAGGCCACATTGTCAGGTTAAAACGGCCAGATTTGGAGAGAAATAATATCAGGAGCAGTGAAATTCCTCCTCCTCCCAACCCTCAGGCTGTCTCTGTCTTCAGCCTCATATTCAATGGAGAAAATAAAAAAACTTTGCTTTCTAGTGTCAAATTCACTCTTCTCATATTGTTGACAAAGACTACTTTTCTCTACAAAAATAATGATTTTATTATAATTCCATGGTGTGGTTGATCATTGCTACAAGCATTTGAAAGCAACCTCATAAGTTTTCATTTTTATGTTTCTAATAATTAATTTAATTTAAAAAAACCAAAGGCTTTCACTAGGTTAAAATCATCAGACTAGCTCAACTCCACATGCGCTCACTGCAGGAGTTGGTTGGAACTCCCTTCCGTCCCTTTACAATTTCTGTTCCACTGACTTAGTGATATTTGGGCAATGAGACAGACTGAATACAGACTGCATTTGACAGAAAGCCAAGCAGCTCTCAGGTGTGGGCTAGCTGAATTGTTGAGGGCCAGTAAATGTAATGAGATTTGGCAGTTGATCGAATTAACAGAATGCTGTGTTTGCATTCTCGTCTTGAAACCTGATGGTTCATTGACAGATTTGGTTAGTGTGTTTCTGAATAAGATCCACCCAACAAAACTGTTCCAGCTATCCCAGTGCCACAGGCTGGTATTCAAGAACTAGATTTACAGTAACAAGTGAACATGTTCTATGCTGCCCTTCAGCATCAGACACTTGCTCTCGGTTTTCACAAACCAATTTGGAAGAACTGAAAGGATGACTCACATAATGATCTATGTGCTCCTTCCAGAAAATGTGTGTTGAGTACAGGGTAGGGAAACTTTGGACCTTTGTATGTTTTGGGCTACAGTTACCATATTCCCATATAGTACTAGGAACTATTCTGAATGGGGCAGATGGGGGATGGAGTTCAATATATATGGAGAATCAAATGTTCCCCTCTTGGTTTAAGATATGCAGTGTACAACTTGAACTACAATTACAGTCATGCCCAGCTGGACAATTACCCCATTTAATGACAAATCCGCTTAATATTGAAGTTTTTGTGATCGCAAAAGTGATTGCAAAATGATGTTCAGATTGGGTTTTTTCACTTCACGTTGATGGGTTCCCTGTTTCGGGGACCGATTTTTCGCTTTACGACTATCAGCAAACAGCTGGCTATAGACACATGGACTTGTGCAATTGGCCAAAAGGCCTTCACTATCTTTCCCATCCTAGAAATCAAGTAGTGCAAGATTTTCCATGGACACTTTCTGCAGTTAATGATTCACCCATAAAGTTCAGACAGCAAGAGCACTATGAGCAACTGTGGATGGATGAATCCCCTATTTGGTGCATGCCTCATTGCCCACACTAACCAAATCTGTCAATGAGTTTCACTGAGGCCCAAGAATCCTCTAGAACAAGTACAGGGTTTTTTTATGCTGTTGGCTTTGGGTAGCCAAGGAAGGAGAGTGATTTAAAAATCAACCTAATTGGCTTCATAATTTGAACCCTGTCATTTGGAGATTCACAGAAGATCTCTCCACCCATTAAAAAAAGGAGTGCCTCAAAATGGAATGGTTCACTTTCCATCTATTTGGATCAGGGGAGTGTGTTGCAACAATACCTCAGCACAGGTTCCATCTTCTACAAAATCCTGCTCCCTCTCACAGCTTATGTTAGAAAGGGCAGATACTTGCCCTGGAGCGCAATTTAAAAAGGGACATTAAACTCACCTCACATTCTCCTGGCTCTTGTCTGCACAGCACCTCCAAATCCTCCAGAGCTTCTGGGTATCGCTGTAAAGCCACATACACCTCTGATCGGCACAGCCTCAGTGTAACATCATCTGGCGCTACAGGCAGAAGCAGAACATCTCCGTTGCAAATGAAGCAGTAATGCATGGCTGACATTTTAAAGCAAAAAGTCATCAGATTAGCACAAGAGAGCATAAATCTCTAGGGATAATTGACCAGAATAAAACCAAAAAAGGAGTCACACTGACAGGAATGGCTGCCAAACATGGTTGCCAAAGTTGTTGTTTTTTAACTTTGCTAGCTCTTTTCACAATTTTTCATATAATAATTTAGCATTTGCTGTTGCCTCCTGAAAGTTCTTCTTCAACGGTGGGATATAAATGCATTTGAAATTAAAGATAGCCAGTACTGTATATGGGATTCTTCTGTTCATTTTTGGTGATTACTTGCACATGGCCCAATGTCCCATAGCCAAATGAACAGTGCAATCCCTATGCAGAAGTAGAAAAATTAAATGGCCTTGGCTGCCAGATGGGTGGTATATAAATAAAATAAATAATAATAAAATAATAATTAAGGACTGCAGCTTGTGTAATTCCATCACAACATAAAAACAAAGGGACGAAGACAGAAACCAGCTAGCAGAATCTGTGCTTTTTTCCAGAGGTGCTCTGGATATCAACAATCTATCAAAGTGGTTATCTTTTAATAACGAACGGGCCTTGCAAAACAAAACAGAATGCTGCCTGTTCAAGACTTCTGCTACTCCATTCCAATTCCTCTTTTTTTCCACTTTAATTTTCTTCCCCCTGCTTCCTCGCCATCAGTCCATCAACATCCTGCACCCAGTAAGTGTGCTCAGTCCTTATTTGCAGAATAAGATTTCCCATAGGGACTTTTACGTCTGGAAACCAAGAGTGGGCTGCCGTCCTAACTGAGGCTACTGATAATTCTCTTCTGCATGGGGAGTGTTTGCTGTTTTCGTTAAGAAAGAATGTTACTCAGGCAGCTTTGACTGCTGTTAGTATCTTATACTGCGGCCACACCATCATACTAAAATATTATGTTTCAAAACAGCAAAGGGAAAGCTTGTGACCTGGAGCAGTTTCTTTGGCCCCTCCATGAAACTTTATTTAGAATACAATATTCACCAGATCTCAACTATTTTTCCTTTTGTTGAGATTATTGGCAATATTCTTCTCTCTCTCTCTCTCTCTCTCTCTCTCTCTCTCACACACACACACACACACACACACACACACACACACACACACCTAAACCTTGTCTTACGTATGCAAGCATGGCTATGCAGTTTAGCAGAATATGACCCTTGTCTATCAGTCCTGCATGCTCAAGGACAGGATCGACTAGACTTGCAGCTGGAGACATGTAGTCCTGCTCTTATACCATGGGGAGATGGGTTAAAACTATTCGTTTCCATGTTGTCTAAGCTTGAAAACAGAGCCCTTATCCTATCTTGTCCTGTGAGCTTCCACAACTTAAAAATCAAAACCAAAGGCACATGGCTGTATTTGCTGTGGTGATTCACCTATCAGTACTGCAGTAGTGATTCACCTACCAGCACTGCAGAAAGTGATTATACAACAAGAGTTTCCATTGCAGAGATGTCAAGACAATGAGGAACATGGAACAGAGGGAGCCTCTATGCGGGCGGTGTGAGTTACATTCTCCACTGAAATAAATCAGCGGACGCCTGACCCTTGTATCTATCTTTAAATGTGGAAACTTTGGAAAAAGTCATCCAAGAGCCAGTTCCCTTTGAAAAAAAAACAATTTAAAAAATTCAATCATTTAGATATACTTAGAGCGTGATCTTTAAAGTAAAATTCCTCATAACCATGGTACAATCTAGCAGTTCTGAGATAAGAAAAATCTCTCGTCATAAAGTGCTTAGCAAGAACTTGGAGCAATATGCCCTCTCCTCAGAATATCAACAAGCTCCTAATGTATACTGTACTTTACATCACTTCCTGTGATGCCCCACATGCAAAACCAATGTATACTAAATGATGTTATGTTTATTTTATATAGTTGAGATTAAAGTGTTGTTCAGACAAAAGGAAGAGGTTTTGTTGTACAAACACACTCCCTGTCTAACGGCATTTCATGGTGGGGGAAGGGTTTTCTCAAAAATATCACAGCGCCTGAGAATCAGCTTGAGCATTGCTAGAGGCAGAAAATGGTGGTTTGAGAAAGTTCGAGAGCAGTTATGGGGAAATTACTGTATTTCATTTCTTGAGAGCCAAGAACTGAGGCGTGGTGTCAACATGAAGGGAGTTGGGACAGAGTTCAAGGAAAGTGTGATGCAGATGTAACTGAAGGTTTGACCAATAGCTAACTTAGTATGGTTTATTAACTAGTTCCAACCTTGTGAGTAAAGTGTTCACTTTTATTTTCAGTTTAAGCCTGTCTAAGTCTGTTTGGTTTGGGGATCTGTAGATTCCTATCATCCTAAGGCAAAACCTGGGATACACAATCTCATTCCTTTTCATTAGCGTGGGTGGGGGGGTTGGATGCAAGGAGAATCACTGGTGCATAGGATCCCAGGGAAATAAAGAGGGCCACCAAGGGCAAGACCACTTTTCAATTCTCTCCCACTTTTAAGTCTCCCTAGTTTTCTCATCAGTTCTTTCATCTTTCTTCTCACCAGAAAAAAAATTACCGTAATTAAGGAAGAAAGACAAATACGTGCAAACATTACATGAACCTGACACAACTCCGGGAGGCAGTAGAAGACAGGAGGGCCTGGCGTGCTCTGGTCCATGGGGTCACGAAGAGTCGGACACGACTAAACGACTAAACACACACACAAGGAAGAAAGACAAATACGTGCAAACATCGGTGTGAGCCTATTATGATCAAACTACACTGAGGAAAAGGTAACACAACCCCTAACCCTCTAGAAATGCAAAGGGAGGGGGCAGGGAGGGTTACAGTATTCCCACTGTGAATAGTCATGAGAGGAAGAAAATTCTGCTCATAGGTTCAACAACTGTTGATGGAGGATGGACACAAGTTCAAATGCTGTCCCATCTTCTATCCCCACATCTGAAGTTTGTCCACATACAGCCTCTCTCCTTGCACACTTAAGTATTCTCCATAAGGCAGGATCTCTGACAGCAGGCCAAATCCTGTTGCTCAGTGTAATAAATCGCACTAGAATGCACCCACTGAATTCATGGGTCTACAATGAGTCAACTCCTCTGTCACTTCCACTGAGTCAAATGGGCCTGCTCTAACTGTAACTTACTGTACTATGTTAAAGTAAATCACAATTAAAGTAGATGTATTTGAGTCAACAAAACTTAGAGTTGACTCACCAAAGCCCTATTGATTCAATGGGCCTACTCTAGTGCAATTTATGACACTAAGCGGCTAGATTTCAGCCAGCACATACCTCTCTTTGAACCTTCAGATAAACACAAGAAAGCTGGAAACTGAGAAAACATACCTTATTCTCTCTCCCTGTCCCCTCCCATGCCTATAATGAACATTCTCTGAGAGAAAGCACAAGCATGGCCCAAATGAGGAAGGAGAGAGTTTGGTAGATAATGAAGGGTGAAGGAGAAGAACATCAGAGAAACACAAGTAGCTTTGCCTCAAAACTACTTTGTCCATCTGCCAAGATATATGCAGCACTCAAAAGTCAATTGTTCATTAATTTTTCAACCACCCATGGGTTTTGACCATTCAAAATACCTTCTAATGGTATTTGCTATTTAGAGGTTTTCTGGTAATGTGCATGACTTGGATCTCAGTTACCAACTATTTCTTTAAATAAAGGATTGGTAGAGTGGATGCCAAACAAAACATGGGGCACTTTCCCAGCTTTAGCAACTAACACATTTCCTCTTCAGATATAGAATTTAAGAATATGCCACTGCAACAGGACTTTTCAGTGAGAAAGGGAGAATCCTAGATTTTACAGGCAACAAGCCTCATCCCCTTACCTTTTGTCTCTCTGGGAAGCTAGTAGATTGCAAGGAAGGGTGCGCCCAGAATCTATTAAGACTTCTGACCACAATCCATTGCCAAACTTACATGAGATGTTCAAATTGTTTTGCCATTCCTGACTCAACCATTACTGTCCTGGACTATGTGGGCTCTGTTAAGTGGTGGAGGCTTCCAGTCTACACTCTAGCGACTACACCATGTTGACTCTGCATAAATTTAACTCTCGAATTTCAAGCATATCTGAGGCTATCCAAGTTCTTTGATGGCTGGGGCTACAGTGTTGATTTTCTCTATATCAAGAGCTGACCTACAGAGTTTGAGATTGTGACATTTTCCAGATCTATTGCTAGGCTTTAGGTCTAGCAAAACCAATGGGCATATATCCCTACACAACATCAAAGAAGGTTCGGAGTTCAGTCTACAACAGGCTGTATTTAAAAAGGTTCTATTAAAAAACTAGTTTTGAAAAAAGAAACACTGAATTGTGCTGGAATTAATAAGCTTAGGCAGGCAAACCATTGGTGTCTCAGGTATGCCTAGACATATTAGATGCATGTCTTCTACGTTCTTAGTAAAATGCTGCACATGCAGTTTGATACCGTCAGCTACCCTGAGCTGCCTGTTGTGCAGATATGCAGTTGAAGGCCAAAATGTGTTCTACTGATTGGTAGCAGCCATGACGATACCCAGCTTCTAGTGAGAGAGACAGAAGATCTGCAATGGCATGGTATCACATATGGATTGCTCTGCACAGCCCATGTAGCAGTTATACATAGCAGAGGACAAACACACAAAGGACTTCTGATATGTTGTTGGAGTTCCCTAAAGACAGTCTCACCTCCCTATTCCTCTCCATCTCTCTACTCTATATACTCTACTCTCCATATTGACTTTCCTGAACCTGGTGACCCCCCAGAAATTTTGGACAGCCCCCAGGGTTCCTACTTACTAGCCATACTGGCTGCAAATGATAGGAGTCAGAGTCCAAATTTCTGGAGGACCCATGTGTTGGGGAATCTGCCCTACCCTATATTATTCCGAGCAGGAAAGGGCTGGGTGGTCAAAAGCAGAACTATGTAGGGATTCCAGAGGCAACAAGCACTGCCCTACCAAAAGAAAGATG